CACTAGAACAAGTACAGTTTTAGATCGCGAACGTTCTGCTCTTCAGTTTCTTGCAAACATTGGTGTGTTTCGAGATATTCAAAATTTGGCGGGTAAGAAAAACAAGCCATTCAAGCTTTGCACTCAAGGTCTGGTGTGACCGCGTCACAGGGATCACGCAAGCCAGCTGAGCGCCAGCGATAACAAGCCCAAAGTGGCTTGTTTCGGTGTGACCGGGGCCTTATTTACAATATATACACCAAATAAGGAGCTTTTCAAGACATGACAAACAATGTGATGAAGGCAAAACACTGGTTCAAGGTTTGTTTGAAAAAGACAGTTGGATAACTTACATGTACAAGTAGGAAGAGAAGCGCCACTAGGCCACTGACCACCACTACCACAAATGATGGTGGCAGTCCCTGTTATTTCATACCCTGGAAGACATGAGACACTTGCGGTACCTCCAATTGTAAAACTAACCACAGTGGCTGTGATGTATCCATTGGTAATCACAGGTAGTGCAGGGCATGTAGTGGCTGAATAGGTGCATAGGAATTGAAGACCAAACACAATAGCAGGTGTGCATTTCGCATCCGACAATAGCAGAATATGGTTCGCAAAGACTAGGATCCTGAGACGCTGCCTCCTTTGGGGTTGGAGCCATTTCTTCTTCAACATCACAAATCGGCAACTAAAGGATAGTGTTAGGTAGCTGGAAAGTTTGTTCTGTCCTGAGTTTATTTGAATTTGTTTGGCTGACGTTTGAAGCGAAACGCACATTTTAATAAGTCGGACCAAGTACGTTACTTGTTCGACATGTATTTACAGTGTATTTTATAACAAAAATATTATTGAAAACCCATAATCCATTTTCTTGTTCCTATCATCAGTGGGCAAAATACGGAACTAAGGATACAACCAAAGAAACTGAAGTTAAGTACTGTAAATAGAAATGTGTTAGTTCCTTATTTTTCCCACTGATGATAGGAACAAGAAAATCGATTATGGGTTTTTCAATAATATTTTTGTTATAAAATACACAGTAAATACAGTCATGTCGAACAAGTAACGTAGTTGCGTGATGTCTTCGGCCTTCATCCTATTCATAGCTATAACAATGAATACATTTCTCGTTTTTTGTCGGTTGGTCTCACAACATGAACCATCTTTTTCACATTTCGAAAATGACTATAACAGGATTTCTCGCATGTACGGGTTGAATTATTTGAAATGAAACTTCTGATATAGGGAAGGTTACATCGCTGCAAGTGACCTGTTTGTCACAAGTATGGAGCTGGAACTGCATTTGGAGTGCGCTGCAGTGGACAATGGCTATTTTATAAACTTGACCTCATTGTTTTTTTTCTCAATACCACAGAACCATCAGATGCTGCACAGCGATATTCCAATAACCAAGAGATTTCCAATGAACCAATATCTCTAGAAGTCTCGACTTTTTACACGGGATGTCACATGAGTTTGACGGAGTCATAGAAATACAACTAGAGCACGAGTTCGACTCCCTAGTGGACTTCCGACTGTTTATAGGACAACGAGTGCCTCCGAAGTCCAACGTATATTTGTCGCGGACAAAAAATGTGAGGAATAATTCATCCCCAATGGTTTGGTATATGCTAATACCTTGGCAAATGGGAAATGTTGTAAAGGCATTTGCAGTTGGACATGTGACAGTGTTTGACCCGACGAGTGTAAATCCACTGGAGCAGGATATTGTATACTGTTGAGGCACACTAGCAACAACCGGTGTCGCCACTGCATTAGGTATTGTAGGCACTGGGCATGTAATAGCTGGAGAAATAAAAACATAACACCAGAGAAACCGTTTCAGGTAAAATGTACTATTAAGTGCAATCAGTCAACATGTGATGTTATGCTGATTTCCAATGTGAGAATCAGTGTACCCCGCTCTCCCTCTCAGTGTCTCACTCTATGAGAGCTGGTTGGAAATATATATGGGGGGGGGGCATTGTAGGCGTTCGGTGACTGCGTCAGCTGTACTCCAAGGGACGGCGGCAGAAGAAACTGACGGCGCAACATCGGAGACAACAGAATCCAAGTGGGGAGATATTGGAGTTCTGGGCGGTTGAAGACGAACAGGATCTCGCCGCACACGCACATCACGTCCTGTATCCGAAGGTTGAGCTGCCACTCTGGCCGATGGCGTTTTTTTTCTGGTCGAGAAACGAGCCATCGTGAGAATATAATACTCAAATAATCTCTGGCCGGATTTGAAAGCTGACTGCAGGCAAGGAAACTGGAAAGACCCCAAGCTCTTTTGTGCGCACAGGAAATCTGTGCATGCGCAGAGCGTGGGCATGTGATGTCTATGATACACAGCAGTATGTAGAGAGAGCAAGATTGTGCACACACGTAAGGAGGGTTAAGGAACCCGTTAGAAAGGCCAACAGCGAAGCAATGGTACGTGAATGTTAACAACGGTTAACTCCTACATTAATCGAACATTTTAAAATGCAATTCCTTGCATTCCCAACTCATCACAACCACGCGCTCTTCAGCCGAACCATACAGACACCAGCAAGGACACTTCCATTGAGAGATAATATTGCTCCACGCCTCTAGACAGCTGTTTCGCTCCCTGTCGGAGCTCATCAGTAGAGGATAATAATAATGATAATGGAGGAATGATCATTCTTATACACCAGAAATGGCGCAAATGCGCGCTTTCCACATATATCAATGGCATATGCAAGCTGCTAAAATGGTAAAGTGTGAGAACAGCGATAAATAATCATAGTACGCGCTCATTGGTACATGGTGGAGAAACACACCACACAAGCGATGAAAACCTGACGCGGAATACTGATGCCAATGGAAAGTACATGTATGGTGTTTATTATTATGATGTTGCAATGTCCATGTATGCAGGCGAGGCGAGACTCACCGCCGAGATTCCCCAACGCGACAGGCTCGGTTGCCGTTCAGGATTCACACCGACCTGTCCGCCCGTCAACAGGATCGACAGCGGGAGGCCCCACTGATGCCGATGTCGATGTGCACCAGGAAACTTGTAGTCGTGAGTGTGATACTAACATGTCTAGTAGCAACCACTGACAAACGAGAGGCCAGCTGGGGCATTCACTCTAGTCAGGGATGCTTGGTCGACGCTTCGGATCAGCACGCCAGCAGGCGACAACTTTCACACCAAGGTTCAACTCGAGTTCAATTCGAGTGACAGGACTGCACCAAAAAAAGGTCAAACAGGCTAGTAAGTTGTACCTTGCAGGCACGTTGACCAGGTGACTGGTGTACGCAGGAGCACGTAACCTCTTGTTGAACCATGTTCGATTAGGATTAAAGGAGGAACGCTGCATCGCAGCCTTTTCGGACCAAAACCAGCCGACTCAGCTTCCAAAAGAATACAACATATGGGCCAATCGCGGTCATCCGTGCTTTTATAAGAACGAAATGGCGCTTTTAGTGGCATTTTGCATATGAATCCCCATCTTGTAGGGCGCAGTCACCCAGTTTCGGTGGAAGTGCGCGTGTTCGATTGGGATTCAAGTAGGAAGGGAGCGTCTCAGCTTTCTCGGACCAAGACCATTCGACTAAGCACCCCGAAGACTACAATTGGTGAAATTTTGATTGTTGCCTTAACTTCCCCTTTAATACCACCTAGAAGAATGTAAGATATGCATTAGACATGCCTAAACTCGGACTTCAATAGTAAATTTCCTATATTCCCACTTTATTCACAGACCTCCTGACGTCAACTCCACTCAACTATTCAAACAACCTGAACATAAATGGCAACTTGTATTGTGGCAACAGTGGCTTGGTGGCTGACTACAAATCCGCCGTTCCATATCAACAAAAGTTCTCAATTGCCTCTTCCGAATTCCTCCGTGCCTCTCGACTATCATCGGATAATGAGACGCGCCGGAGGAGTGAAAAGAAGGTCATCGACGTGCTGAAATTCAACAATTTCCCCCAATCAGTGATTGACAAGGCCCGGGAACGAGCTGGAAGACCGACCGGACCCAAACAGAAAAAGGACTTTCGCACAACACTCAAGCTGCCATTCAAAACCGATCACATCCACAAGAAGGTGCAGTATCTCATTCGCAAATATCAGCTGAACACCCACATCATATACAAGAATGCTCGGCTCAGCTCGCGGGTTTGCAGGTCTGCTTTGGACAAGCCCCTATGCCGCAAATTCGTTGATCCACAGCAGCCAAGGAGAAGGGGAAGACCGAAATCAGCTTGCGTGGCATGTACAGCAGGTGCAGTGGACTGCACCCGCCGAAACGTGGTATACCACCTCGAGTGCCGTTGCGGTGATGACTATGTGGGTGAAACTGGCCGAAGCGTTGCGACAAGGTCAAGGGAGCACAACGATAATGCACGCAACGAGGTCCGAGGGAAGGCGCTGGGTGAGCATTACCGGATCTTCCATGCCGATGAGCCATTGTCGCTGGGGCAGACCGGATTCGCCAACGTCTGTGTGCTTGCGACAGAGCCAGACAGGGCAAGGAGAAGGATTCGGGAAGCGGTCAAGATCCGGGACATGGAGCCTAATATCAACACCAGCAGTGGTTGGGATCTCCTGTGAGCTCTGGTTTCCTGGCTTTTTCATTGGAGTGATAGGTATCCATGTGAAACCTTAGCACCCACAAATTGTACGTATCACCACCCTAGACTTTAGCATTATGTTGGCACTGTCCACACTACTGTAGTCATGTGGCACAGGTTGTACATAATTATCACCGCCCTACTCTCTCACACGGAGGACTAGCACCCCTATTGTGATCATGTGGCATGTGGCATTTTTTCGCTTGGGAGTTGTTGTTTTTTTGTTTTGTTGCCCCCGCTGTATTCCGCACGCACCTAGCCAGCTTGTTGTTTTAAAGTCTGCCTTGCTTCCATGTCTGCTTCATCCTGAAGATGGTCAGAGTGACCGAAACGTTGACAAGAAAGAAGAATTGTTCAGCTGTGTGAAGAAGCAGTGCATCTGAGTGTTGGCCAGTGTTGCCACACTACAAGTTGCTATAATGAAGCTGCGTGAAGCGTCGTTCCGAATTTCTGAACATAAATGAAGACAATATTATCACATTATACTGACGAGAGCATGTTGGTGGTGTTCCAGACCACATTCCAGTTGTTTGACACACAGTTGTTGTTGTGCCAGAAAGTTGATATCCAGCACTGCACGAGTACGTTCTGTTCGTGAAGGCATCTCGAGCACCACTGGACACGGCGCCGTTTGTAGGAGACACCGGGTTGGAAGGACATTGTATCACTATAACAACAGAATCACAAATACACCAAACAAAACATCAACAGAAATCCATGCCAGAACGGGAAATACTGACATACTGTGACTTACAAACAGTCAAACTAACATCTAGTGACTTTAGAAGAATTCCAAAGGCCGGACAGCTTAACCACACCTGGATCTTATAAGACACCTGACTAGAAGTACAGAGAAACCACCTGACGTCTCATCTTAATCCTCCTCTAATTCTTCCCCTTAGCCATGAATACAATGCATGTATGAACATTTCTTCGGCTCTGGCTCTTCAAGGATTGATTTCTTATTTTAACTTGAATAATCGTATACGTACGCTGGCAAGTTGGTGGGGATGTCGACCAAGTTCCATTTGGAAGACAAACAGAGGCACTGCTGCCGACTACATTGTATCCAGCATTGCAGGTGAAAATAGTTGCACCATTAATCTCCAAAGACATGGTAGCAATAGCTCCATTAGAAGGTGCAACTTGACCGCCACACACAACACCTGCAAAGCACAGCAACCAGCAAACTTTGAAGTCAGAATGGCCTCACTTGGAAGCCGCAACAGTCAGAATGGCCTCACTTGGAAGCCGCAACACAAAAGCAGCTTATTGACAGAGGTGTCAGCCAGCTTGATACTCCACCAGTGGTCCCTGATGATCACTTAGGCTCGATTACTGGTCTGAATGCAGCCAACCAACTCCAGACAACTCCTCCTCCACTCAACCTCACGGAGAGCCCCAGCACCGTGCCAATGCAATAAAGATGGTATGAACAGCAGTACTTGACTAGCAATGCTGCATGTCCACAGTTTGCCGTATCACCCTCGGGCTCATCGTTCGCTGCTGATTTGCGTCCTACAGGAATACTGGGGAGTTCTAAAGCCAGTGTATCTGACAGGGAGAGCCAACAAGAACTTTGTATGACAGTGCTGCTGGGGTTAAGTGTTCATTGAGATAAGATATGCGGAGCCAGAAAGAGAAGCGCCTTTGCAAAAATGTGCCAGCAGAACATGAATCACTGGGGCAGAACCAGTCACATGCAAGTACATTAACTTTTGCTCTTGGTATTTCAACCGCTTTTAACGCCATGACATTATAAGTTACGGTGGCCCTACATTCGAATATAGCGCCAAGGCTTTATGAGCGGAAGCACGCTACAATAGGAAAGGTAAAGGTGAGTTTGGGATCTGTCTTTTAGTCTCTCTCTCTGAGATCAACAGTTGTATAAGATGTACAATATGCAGGCACTCACTTCGAGCTAACATTTGCTTAATTATTTGATAAAAGAACTAGTGAAAAAAAAGGAAGAAGTACTGACGATTGCATGTAGGTGGTGTTCCAGACCATGCTCCAGTTGTTTGACAGACAGTTGTTGTTGCTCCTGATAGTTGATATCCGGTACTGCACGAGTATGTTCTGATCGTGAAAGCATTTCGACCACCACTAGACACTGCGCCATTTACAGGAGACGTTGGATTTGCAGGACATTGAATTCCTATGGAAACATATCCAATCAACAGACATTGTAGAGTCACTCGCTCAAGCTTGGAAATTCCAGAATATTCGGTCACATCATACGTCTTCCGTTTTAGGAGTCATGTTTGAGAAAATCAAAGTATGTTTGCAAAACGATCTCAGATTGATAAAACTGGGAAGCTCAACTGACGAGGGATGAATTCCCTTGATGCCAGTTGCGAGTGAGCAAAATGTCAATCCAAGGTGAGCATACAACCTTCCTACAAGTATATCTCCCAAGGTTCTTCATTTATTTTCGAAGTTTTGTGCATAGCGGTGAGTTGCAACAAGCTGGGTAACGTGGGTACAGCATTGCAAATGACCGAGGGTTCTTTGACCCACTGTTAAAATTCCTTGATCGTCACTGCCTCAGCTCGTCATCTAAATCTGGTTAATTTATGGCCTGGACAGGGTTGCTGACCAGATGTTTCTCAGCTTGTTGAAGCTCAACTGACGGCTGTATTCCATGAAATAGAGTGTACAGAGCACAGGTGTTGCATTCCCATGCAGGATTGCTAAGTGAAGCAGTTGATTTGCTCCGTAGGATAATAGCGAGTCAGACAAGTGATAACCTATGTGCAAGAAGGATATGGGAGAGGGTACGGCGGCTGCTGAGTGATGGCCATTTGAGCCGGTGCGGCAGCACCGAGTGGGTTCTGTGTTCAAAGAGAAGGAGATGCAAACAGAGGCGAGCGGCGCGCCGTTGGATGCGCTCAAGCCGGTCGTTCAGGTTTGCGGGGAGGGGTGAAAGGACAGTGCAAGCATACTCAAGAATAGGGCGGATGTAGGTTAGATATATGAAGGAGAGAGCAGAAGTGTTTAAGGAATTGCGTAGTCGCAGGAGAAGGAACATCTTCCTGGTCGCTTTAGTGATGGTGTTGTCAACATGCGAGTTCCAGCATAGATTCTGCTGTATGAGGAGGCCAAGTTGGGGATGCCTTGAGGCCACAGTGAGGTTGATATCGTTGAGTGTGATTGATGGTGGTCTGGGAGGTGGCCGGTTGGTGTGGTGAAAGTGGATGACAGTGGTCTTACTGTCTTTGACCAGGAGATGCCAATCCTTCAGCCACTGTGTCGCGGTTGTCACAGCTGACTGGCGGTGCTCTTCTGCGGCTAGAAATTTCTCGTGAGCGACAATGATGGCAGTGTCGTCGGCAAACTGGCTGCCCTCAGTGTTGCGATTTTTTTCAGGCGCCTGGCAGATCGACTGTGTAGGCCGTGAACAAAAGTGGCCCGAAGACAAAGCCTTGGGGTACCCCCGCTGGAATGTTCAGCAAGGTTGATTTGCTGCTGTCCATTTGCACACGTTGTCGTCTGTTCGTGAGATAAGAGGCAAGGCACTGGAGGCATTTGCCAATTTTGCAAGCAGTCCTTGGTGCCACACCCGGTCAAACGCCTTAGATAGGTCGAAGAAGCAAGCAATTACTGTTTGCCTGGCGTCTCTTTTCTCGGTGATCTGATGGATTAACCGAGATAGCTGCTGTGTGGTGCCATCGTTTGGCCGAAAGCCTGATTGACCGTTGGGGAGGTGAGGTTGGATGTGCTTCGAGATGCGGTCTGCAACTATCCTCTCTTGTACTTTCAATGTCACGCTGAGTAGCGATAGCGGGCGATAGTTGGAGGGTCTGGTTTTGCTGCCCTTCTTGTGGATGGGGGTGACTGTTGCGTCCCTCCACTCTTGCAGGATAGTGCAATGATCGAAGGAGATGTTAAAAATTGGTTGATAGGGATGGCGCAAGTGAACTGGCTGCCTCTTTCAGTAGGCGGGTATGCATGCCATCACAGCCAGGGCTCTTTGACGGATCCAGGTTTGACAGTAAATTTGAGACCTCTTGGGCTGTTGTTTCAAGTGTAGTGAGGCCAGGGGTATTGGGTGTGGGGGAATGAATGGAGGGGAGTTCCTCGTGGCACCCTGTGACTGACTGTTGGCTCTGCAAGATGAAGAAAGCGTTCAGGGCGGTTGCTTTTTCAGCGGGGGTTGAGAGAGACTGGCCCTGGGAGAGCATGTCTGGCAGAGTAGTTTGTTCTGATGACTGGAGGCCGCGCATCAGTTTGTGTAGGTTTGGTGTGAAGTGGCTCGTCCCAGTGCCATTACTGACATATGTAGACTTAGCGATTCGGAGAAGGTGAGTAACTTTGTTGCGTTGAGTGGTGTATGCTGTCCAGTTGCAGGGCGTCCGGGTGCGCAGGTAGGCACGGTAGAGCCGGTGTTTTTCTCTGATGGCGTTAGTGAGCTCTGGGTTCAGCCATGGCTTTGCGGGGTGGCTAGTATGGCTCGGGGAGTGAGGTACTGCACAGTGTTTGCGGGCGCAAGTGAGCACTTTGTCCTTCCATGAGTGCCACAGGTTGTCTATGTTGGTAGTCTTCAGGGTGTCACGTTCCGGTAGCAGTTGTATGCGTTCAATTTCGGCTTTCAGACTGGTGATGCTTTGGTTTGACCATTTCTAATGGGTGGTGTTATGCGTGGGAGGTGGTACAGCTCGAGGGGGTGCAGCGACTGGCTTGATTAAACCCCTGATGGATAGGTGGTCCGAGTTGCCGATCTGCGGGAGACTAGAGATAAGGACATAGTCGCTGTCTACATCCGTGACGACTAGATCTAGGCAGGATTTAGGGTGCCCATTCTGCACAAGAGTGGGGAATGTGACATGTTGGTGTAGAGAGTAAGTTTGGAAAAGCACTGCTAGATCCTCGCCAACAGCATCTGTCGTGTCAGAGTGTCACCAAGCGGCGTTCTTTGCATTGAAATCACCGAGGTCGCGTTGTCCCCAAGCTTGCCACACTGATAGATGTACTGACCAATACAATTGACATCCACGCCCTTGCACACTTTCACTCAGACCATGACTGCATCATAATTGTATATATTCCCGTAGCTATGCAGAAGACGTTACTTCAGTAACGTCTGGCGCTAGCCAGGGTCCACACCGCTTTAATTTGGTGTTTGTTTGTTTGTTTGGTTGTGTCGCGCCTGGAGCTATCCCGTATCTGTCCCGTATCTGGGACTACAAAGGCTGTACAGGATTGTACATAACAGCTGGCCACAATATTGGCTGGTACCGTATCTGTCCCGTACCGTACCATCAAGCACAGCTGGCCACAAACAGCTGGCCAAGATATGGGTTAATTACGGTATATGGTTCAGTTCCAAGAGGAATCTGGAGCTCACTGAACCAATCGATAGTCGATAAGCACTGGCCAACGAGGGACCACTCTTTGCAGGCTCTGAGGGATGTATCGAATGAAGAAAAGTTGAACTGACTTGGTTCAGCAGGGATGGCAACACTTCGTGTGGCTCGCTGACCTTGTAATTGGAGTCTGGCGAGGACAATGTCGTGGTCGGAGGTACCCAGCGGTGCGGCAGTTGAGAGGTTAGAAAGAAGTAGTGGGTGGTTGATTATAACAAGGTCTAACGCACTGGCATGACCACTGTGTTGGGAGTAATGTGTGGGAAAGGTAACGAGCTGTGATAGGGAGAGCATTTGAAGCAGACAAAGCAGTTGATGACAACCGCATCTGTGGTCGATCCATACCATTCCGAGCAACGAGCGTTGAAGTCCCCAAAGACGAGAAGCATGGAGTCGGGCATAGATAAGCGTTGCAAGATTGGAATTGAGTAAAGAAATTATCGGTTTGGCGGTGTGTCAATGATGGTGGCCTGTACACCGATCCTAAATAGCGCAAGATCATAACGTCAAGCAACTTGGAAGAATAAGTATGAATGCGAAGTGTATAGGGGAATGAATGTAGAGCGATTGTGTGGGTTAGAATCCTAGGTTATGCCTTGAAATATAAATAGGAGAATTGAAACATTTATAACATCCCTATGTTTTATTGTGTCCAGGTCTTCAAGGCAAAAAAAGCATAGCGTAGGGCCCTGAGCTTCCAAGTTCTCTCGTATGAGCGAATACACCAACAGAAAACCATGCCAGGAGGGGAAATGCTAACTTACTACGAACAAGAAACAATCGTACTAACATCTATTGGCTCTAGAAGAATTCCAAAGGCAAAGAAGCTTAGCCACACTTGGATCTCATAAGACACCTTACGGGAAATGCTGGGAAACCACCTGACATCTCATGTTGTTCGTCCTCTTAGTCATGAATACAATGCGTGTATCCATGTCATTTCTTAGGCTCTGACTCTCTAATGACTGATTTCTTAGTTTGTTACAGCTCCCGCACCAGATTTACTTTAATATTCGTATACGTACGCTCGCAAGTTGGCGCAGAGGTCGACCAAGTTCCATTTGGAAGACAAACAGATGCACTGCTTCCAACTACATTATATCCGGAATTGCAGGTGAAAATTGTTGCACCATTAATCTCCAACGACATACTGGCAATAGCTCCATTAGGAGGAGCAGCTTGACTGCTACACAGGACGCCTTCAAAACATAGGAAGCAACAAAAAATGGGAAAAGATGGAAGTTTCAGATCTGAAACACAAAAGTGGCTAACGGAAAAATACTGTCATGGGTTACATAAGATGTAATGGTGAAGTGTATTTTGTTGTAATATTGTTCTGCCTGCGTATGGCAGAAATAATAGAGGAGTTCAAATAGAAACCAAGTACAAAATGATGTGTTCCGACAAAATGAAGAAGAGCATTCAAAAGAGTAAATGAAAATAATCATATGTACTCGGATGGTGAGCTAATATAGTTATGATGAAGAAAGGAAAAGGACAAAATGTTGCTGGCTGTTTAAGATCTGGTTACGCTGGTGGACAGTTTGTCATAACTCGTAACATTTTGTCCTTTTCCTTTCTTCGAAAATATATGTGCAATTAATGATTATACTCATGGAGAAGGTGACTGCATACGCTGGTATGCTTCGAGGCGACACAGCACATGAGATCCTTGCCAAACTTATTACAAGCATGCAGGACGATGGCAAGATTGAGCAATGGACTGGTCGTAGCCGTATCATGCGGATGACGACCCCAACAGCCTCAGTGTTGCGCAGAAAAGAAGTATTGCCGTGTCCTGCGCAGAAGTGAATCGACTCTGCAGAATATTTCCGGGGTGGTATTTGGAGGTGGCCCTGGCTGTGCCTTTCCACTAGTGATGTCGACGGAGTCTATAGAAAATTTGCTGCACTACGCTGGTTTACTGTCGGAGAGGCCTGTCTGTGGTTTGGAATAGCCACAAAGGCAGACTTGCAGCTGCCATGGTACAAGCTGCGCAATCTCCTGCAGTACCTACGAAAGTTTGGTGCGCCTCTTGGGTCCGAACATGCTATGCGTCAGACGCTTCATAGCAAACTCCCTTTTGAACCCATCGCCTTTGTTGCACGGTTGAATAAGCTGTGAATTGCACATGCGTACACCAGCCGCCCAGTCACTGTCCCTGCAGGCTACAACTTTCACACTAACGTTCAACTCACCAGTTCAAATGTTCAAATTGAGTAACAGGAAAGCACCCAAACTGGTTGTAGGTTGCAGAGGGTGACCAAGTGACTGGTGTACCCATGAGCATGCGCCCGCTTGATCAACCGTGATCGATTTGGAAGAAGGGCCGAACGCTGCATCACAGCCTTTTCGGACTTAAGCCAGTGGACTCGGCATCCAAAAGACTACAACATATGAGCAAATCGCGCGCATCCGTGCTATTATAAGAACGAAATGTTTTTTTAGTGGTATTTTTTATGCAAATCCCCATCCAGTTTCGTTGGAAGTGGCGAGGTCAATCGGGATTAAAGGAGGAAGGAAGAATCTCAGCAAGACCATTCAATTCAGCACCCCGAAGACTACAACTGGTGAAATTTGATATTAGGGTACACTTCCCCTCTAGCCCTTTAGCACCTAAATTTATTTTAGCCGACTCACGATTTTCACAAACTCAAATTTTCATCTGGCTGTGTCATCGATAGCCTTCGGAGGATTCTCACAATCTTGAGCTTTATGGAAAACTCTGGGCAAGACGAATGCAGCCATACCCAGTTCGCAATTGACAGAGTCGTAGAGATAACGCCGCAGCGCAATGTGAGCATTCCACTGCAAGACCTACGAGCGCAGAACTAAATTCTCAGCCATTTCAACTACCGTATTTCCCCGATTATAAGTCGCTACTTTTTACACTGAAATCCAGGGTAAAAAATCTGGTGTGACATACAATCGAGCATGACTTACTACTGAAGTGGATATATCGAAACAATATTGCTCAAACCTAAAAATGGTGGGTGCGACTTATAATTGAGTTCGACTTATAATCGGGAAATACGGTGTTTCGATCACAAAAGGGTCAGTTTTTTTGCAGGAGAGAGCTGAGAAATGCAGCTGCAAAATGACATAATTATGCCGTGTGTGAATGCGTGGGCAGCGAGTCAGGGAAACCACCTTGCGCGTGTTTCAAATTCACGGCGGCGCGAGCTGACTTGTGCCTGCAAATTTGGTTGGATTGTCATAACTCTGCTCCAGGACCTCAGATCGTCTTTGAGTGCCTTAGAGCCGACAGTTCGAGGCGGTCCTCATACGAACAGACCTTTAGACCGTTGAATTCGGACAACGATCGACCGAATGGCAGGGAGATGAGCGAGAAAGAATTTCTCGTGCAACATCTGGCCGCGGCCAACCATCCTTCAATTTGCATGATGTTGCTAGTGCTGTCTATGGCTCTGTGTCTGCCAGTGTATGCGAAGCCAGAAAGAGAAGCATATTTGCAAAAAATGTACCATCAGAACATGAATCACTGCGGCCGAACCAGTCACATGTAAGTACTTTCAATTTTCCTTGTGGTATTTCAACCACTTTTAACGCCATCACATTATAAGTGAAGGTGGCCCTACATTCGAATATAGTGCCAAGGCTTTTTCAGCGGAAGCAAGCTACAATAGGAAAGGTACAGATGAGTTTGGGATCTATCTTTTACTCTCTCTGGGATCAACAGTTGTATAAGATGTACAATATACAGGCCTACACTTTTTTGAGCTAACATTTGCTTTTAAGAATTATTTTATAAAGGAATTAGTGAAAAAAAGGAAGAAGTACTGACGATTGCATGTAGGTGGTGTTCCAGACCATGCTCCAGTTATTTGACAAATAGTTGTTGTTGCTCCTGATAGTTGATATCCGGTACTGCACGAGTATTTTCTGATCGTGAAAGCATTTCGACCACCACTACACACTGCGCCATCTACAGGAGACGTTGGACTTGCAGGACATTGAATTTCTATGGAAACATATCCAATCAACAAACATTGTAGATTCACTCGCTCAAGCTTGGAAATTCCAGAATATCCGGTTACATCACACGTCTTCCGTTTTAGGAGTCATGTTTGGGAAAATCAAAGTATGTCTGCAAATCGATCTCAGATTGGTCAAACTGGGAAATTCAACTGACGAGGGATGAATTCCTTTGATGCCAGTTGCGAGTGAGCAAAATGTCAATCCAAAGTGAGCATACAACTTTCCTGCAAGTGAATCTCCCAAAGATCTTTATCTATTTTCGAGGTTTTGTGCATACCGCTGACTTGCAACAAACGGGTACAGAGTTGCTAATGACCGAGGGTTCTCCGACCCTTTTTGAAAGTCCATGATCGTCACTGCCCCAGCTCGCCATCCAATTCTGGTTAAACTATGGCCTGGACAGAGGTGCTGATCAGATGTTCCTCCAGGCTGTTGAAGCTCAACTGAAGACTGAATTCCATGAAATAGTGTGTAAAGAGCACAGTTGTTGCATTCTCATGCTGGTTTGCTAAGTGAAGCGGTTGATTTGCTCCGTAGGAGAGATAATAGCGAATCAGATTATTGATAGCCTAAGGAGGCGAAAAGCGCAAGCTCCAGTATCATGAGTCACAGATATTGCAAATAATGAGAAACCCAACGTAGGGGGGTCTGAAACATACAAATCAACATATGATGAATTGTGCGCATTGGGTTCAAACCTTACTTGTACATGTCGGCATTGTGGTTGACCAAGCACCATTTGCCATGCATACAGTTGCACTATTTCCTGTCAGTTGATAGCCATCATTGCATGCCAATATAGTCACTCCATATGGTAATCTGGAGCTGCTGACTATTGAACCATTTATTGGTGGGGTAAGTGCCGGACACATTCGTACTGCATTGTACACAAGAAGATGGTAACCATTCCATCATCCACACACAGGGTTTTTAATAAAGACATCCGTAGCGCATCTACCTATCCCCATTTTCAGAAATTAATTACCGACGCCTAGTGGATATTTTCGCAAATGCATAGGCAGCAATAAATGAGTTAATTAACGATTCACGGCAACAGCATGGTCACTGCATCTGATTCAGTGCCACAGTGTAGTTGTAGAGATAGCAGCTCGTTTGTCAACATCATCATCATCATCATCATCATCATCATCTGCGTTGCCGAAAAAATAATAATAGTAAAATTAAAAAATTAAATAGTAAACGGCATTATACAGCTTTGTAAGCAGTAGATGCACAGTGCGACTGCCAGACATCTCTGTCAGATGCCAACTGGCAATTCTCATGCAGAATTTTCATCCGTTTGTCTACGGATTTCACAATTTAAGGTTTCCTGGAAAGCTCTTTCCTACTTGTCATCTTCCACGTGCTTTCGAAGCATACAGCACCCCAAGGACGCCCTTAGCCTTGTCAACAGTGTCCCTATCGTGCTCAACAGCATCCTTCGATTCGGAGCTCAAACTCAATGTAGACGTACGATTAAACTGCCAGGAACTCGTGAGATTTAAGCGATTCAAACGATGTACATCATGTTGCCTTTGACACGTCATTGGGAAGTCTCCCTTTCACTACCCATTATTTTCGCAATTGAGTCAATTCACAGCCTACAAAATACCACGTTTGTTATACCTCTGCTCTCCTTTGGCCATTTCTCACAAACAACCACTCTCTGGAAAGCTTATGATGGCAGCCACACGCTCTTAGAAACTACAACACCAAGCGCTATTCGTGTGTGCTGCGCTGTGATGAAAAAGACGTTTTCAAACTCAAACAAATACGCGCAGTGCAATCTACCAGTGAGTGGCTCACTGATTTGTAAAATCGTGGCTCATAGAAACCAGACGAAGTTCTTGTGAAAATACCTAAAACCCGGAGGATTTCCAGCCCCGAAATGCCTTAGGTAAGCGAAAAGATATCAGAATTATTCTCAGCGTGACGGCGACTCAAAATGTTTGAGTGCGCATTTTTGATCGCGCACTACCTTCGAGATTTGTCGTGCGCCAATTATGCACCAAGGAGACAAAGCGATAGTTGTATGGAGCGAGTGCCGGCATTGATCAGATGCGATGGGGTCTCCATGACCAGCATGCTAGTCATAAACCCGAAGAAATTTTCAAATTAACACTTGCAGCATAATGTTTTGTGTTACAGCTAGTTTTTTCGGGATTACCACATCACCTTGCCGACCATGTCACCCGGCCAGTCACTCAAAACCATGCATGTGCTAGGCCGCGGTCACACCGAGCTCGATTCAGCCGTTCAGCCGAAACAAGCGCTTGTTTGCGTCACTATTACCATGGAAATGGCTGAAAAATGTCCTACAAGCGACTTTCAGCCGTGGCTGACTCTCAGCCGTTTTTTTCCGGCTTGTTTCAGCCACAGCTTGTACAAGCGGCTGAAAGCCGAAATTCAAAAAATAATTTGAGTGCGCTTGGAGCTCCGGAGCACACCATGTAGCTAGTTGACATGATGAACTGATATTGATGTTCTTTCTTGTGTTCGGGGAACCGTGCTATCCCTGTGCCTTTGGTTTTGACCGTGAGTCTGTCTACCCCAACTACACTGTATTCAGTTTGATTTGGATTTTGTCCGACGACCATGGATTTCTGCCCCTGTGCCTCTAGACTGCTGGGTAGATTGTTGGAGCTGTGGTTTGAGGCCAAGACAAGGCACCACACTCACGACCGAATTCATGAAGAAAGCCGGGTACGAAGAACAGAGTGGATTGCAACTAAGTTCAATAACGGCAACCGGCGGGGCAGAAAGCTCGACATCAGGAAACACCACCCGAACCATCGCGTCCATGCACACCGAACAAATAAAAAGAGCACGACTTCGCAATTCAGAATCCGGGCTTCCTTTGCTTCTTCATCAAAACTGAACACTAGAACAAGTACAGTTTTAGATCGCGAACGTTCTGCTCTTCAGTTTCTTGCAAACATTGGTGTGTTTCGAGATATTCAAAATTTGGCGGGTAAGAAAAACAAGCCATTCAAGCTTTGCACTCAAGGTCTGGTGTGACCGCGTCACAGGGATCACGCAAGCCAGCTGAGCGCCAGCGATAACAAGCCCAAAGTGGCTTGTTTCGGTGTGACCGGGGCCTTATGTACAATATATACACCAAATAAGGAGCTTTTCAAGACATGACAAACAATGTGATGAAGGCAAAACACTGGTTCAAGGTTTGTTTGAAAAAGACAGTTGAATAACTTACATGTACACGTAGGAAGAGAAGCGCCACTAGGCCACTGACCACCACTACCACAAATGATGGTGGCAGTCCCAGTTATTTCATACCCTGGAAGACATGAGACACTTGCCGTACCTCCAATTGTAAAACTAACCACAGTGGCTGTGATGTAACCATTGGTAATCACAGGTAGTGCAGGGCATGTAGTGGCTGAATAGGTGCATAGGAATTGAAGACCAAACACAATAGCAGGTGTGCATTTCGCATCCGACAGTAGCAGAATATGGTTTGCAAAGATGCAATCAATGAAACTGCGGACTATCGACAAGGTACCATCCGAAGAGAAAGAACACATTCCGTAAATATCCAGGGAATGTAAGAATAATAGGTTTTTCATTTGACCCGACCAGACCACACGACGCTTGCAGAACACAGAAGACGAAGATGGAGATGGCAACAAAGAATTAATGTAAGAAAACACCACGTTCGTTTATTACCTTCATACAACTAAGAAGAAGAACAATGAATACAAATAATCTACGTGGAGATAATAATTTTAATATAGCTATGAATAGGATGAAGGCCGCAGACATCGCGCAACTACTTGGTCCGACTTATTAAAATGTGCGCTTCGCTTCAAACCTCAAGCCTATGTCCAAAGGAGCACCTGTGCTAAAATATCGACCAAGAGACGATAGATAGATTACTACTGTGTCGTTTCTTGGCCTGACCTTGTAGTTTCCATCTCTGCTGGTGTCTCAGGGCGCTTCTTCAAGTGCGTCAGCCTGCAATACGGCGACATTTTTTTCATCTCCTCCAAGCTACACTGCGCTTCCTTGATTTTTTCACTCCATAGGCACGATTTAGACGATCGACTTCGCCTCCTCCTCGTGCAGTACGACTGCCAGAATGGTGGCTGTAGGTGTTTTCGCCTGACGCTCCCACGACACTTTCAAATGAGGCGAACAAGTAAACCATGACGCATAAAAAATCACTTCTCGTCAGGGAGTAGTACAATACCATACTGGTATTGTACTACTCCCTGCTTCTCATCACCGTGTGCCGCATACTGGTATTGTACTACTCCCTGCTTCTCATCACCGTGTGCCGCGCGTAGAACTACTGAGTCTGATCTGTGTCGACATGACTGTCGACACAGTCAGCTGCATCAGACCATGCGTGCTCTTCCCTGCCTGTTTCACGAATCCACTGGCCCCGGAGACTGGCGATCTTGTGACGCATCGCGATCGCGGCTCCGAGGAGTCGGCGGGGACTCCGCACCATTCACGTATTCACCCTTTCTGCGCTTCAGTTTTCCAGCCAGGTTGTCGCCTGAAAGTCGACCTCAAGGGCGGTTGTTTATACCGATCAACTTCCCGAAAATCTCTTCTGTACTCTTGATTCGTCGGCCGCCACATCGTGAACGAATGCGAGAGAGATCAGCACAAACTGGACGGAGCGATGCAGGTGCTTTCTGCACGAGTTTCTGGATGACGCGTTTGCTGTTACTTGATTCTTCCAAGGAAACAGCGACTGCACTGGGCGATTTCAATCCGCCAGGAAGCACTCGAGAACGATCTCCCAGGAGTTTCTGGTACTCCGTGACAATTCCCCATCGCAGTGGGGTGTTGATTTCAGCACCAGGCCTTCTCTGTGTTGCGCGAGAAGCAACAGGAGTCCTCTGACGACAAAAATTTGCACGCAAAATACTCGAGTCGACTAGGATCCTGAGACGCTGCCTCCTTTGGGGTTGGAGCCATTTCTTCTTCAACATCACAAATCGACAACTAAAGGATAGTGTTAGGTAGCTGGAAAGTTTGTTCCGTCCTGAGTTTATTTGAATTTGTTTGGCTGACGTTTGAAGCGAAACGCACATTTTAATACGGAGGATTAGCAAGACGAAATTCGCGTTCGCGTTCGCAAGCATTTTTCAGTTCGCGAACTGGACTGCGAACTTTCGCATTTTTCGTTCGGAAAAGTAGTCGGAACACGAATCGTGGATTCGTGTCAGGGCAGTCATAAATTTACCACGCTGTACTGCCTACGTCGTGTCAACATCATGCATGTGCGAATTCTGTTTGCTAATCCTTCTCATAACGCGAATTCCGTCACTGAGTTCGACTTTCTTTGGAGAGCGAACGCGAACGCGAATTTCCTCTTGCTAATCCTCCGTAATAAGTCGGACCAAGTACGTTACTTGTTCGACATGTATTTACTGTGTATTTTATAACAAAAATATTATTGAACAGTGAACACCCATAATCCATTTTCTTGTTCCTATCATCAGTGGGCAAAATACGGAACTAAGGATACAACCAAAGAAACTGAAGTTAAGTACTGTAAATAGAAATGTGTTAGTTCCGTATTTTTCCCACTGATGATAGGAACAAGAAAATCGATTATGGGTTTTCAATAATATTTTTGTTATAAAATACACAGTAAATACATGTCGAACCAGTAACGTAGTTGCGTGATGTCTGCGGCCTTCATCCTATTCATAGCTATAACAATGAATACATTTCTCGTTTTTTGTCGGTTGGTCTCACAACATGAACCATCTTTTTCACATTTCGAAAATGACTATAACAGGATTTCTCGCATGTACGGGTTGAATTATTTGAAATGAAACTTCTGATATAGGGAAGGTTACATCGCTGCAAGTGACCTGTTTGTCACAAGTATGGAGCTGGAACTGCATTTGGAGTGCGCTGCAGTGGACAATGGCTATTTTATGAACTTGGCCTCATTGTTTTTTTTCTGAATACCACAGAACCATCAGATGCTGCACAGCGATATTCCAATAACCAAGAGATTTCCAATGAACCAATATCTCTAGAAGTCTCGACTTTTTACACGGGATGTCACGTGAGTTTGACGGAGTCATAGAAATACAACTAGAGCACGAGTTCGACTCCCTAGTGGACTTCCGACTGTTTATAGGACAACGAGTGCCTCCGAAGTCCAACGTATATTTGTCGCTGACAAAAAAATGTGAGGAATAATTCATCCCCAATGGTTTGGTATATGCTAATACCTTGGCAAATGGGAAATGTTGTAAAGCCATTTGCAGTTGGACATGTGACAGTGTTTGACCCGACGAGTGTAAATCCACTGGAGCAGGATATTGTATACTGTTGAGGCACACTAGCAACAACCGGTGTCGCCACTGCATTAGGTATTGTAGGCACTGGGCATGTAATAGCTGGAGAAATAAAAACATAACACCAGAGAAACCGTTTCAGGTAAAATGTACTATTAAGTGCAATCAGTCCACATGTGATGTTATGCTGATTTCCAATGTGAGAATCAGTGTACCCCGCTCTCCCTCTCAGTGTCTCACTCTATGAGAGCTGGTTGGAAATATATATGGGGGGACATTGTAGGCGTTCGGTGACTGCGTCAGCAACCAACTTTAGCAGTGGTATTGTTGCGTATAGCGTATCATTGTACGTTAACATATCCCCGTACTGTATCCCCACACGTTAGCGTATCCCGTACATTAGCGTTCGATGTCTGCCTTTGTATAAAAGCTGCTGCTCACGATTCTTTAATTGCCAGTTAGTTAATTTAGTAGCCAGTTAGTTAATTTAGTTGCCAGTCAGTTAATTCCATTGCCAGTTAATTTCGTTGCCAGTACATTTCAATTGCCAATTACAGTGTGTTCACTGAGACCCTTGTGCTTTCTTGCCTCCGAGAGACTGCGGCCCGCTACAGTATCACCTGCCGTAGGGGATAATTTGGAGGAACCAAAGTGCAATTTTTAGACGACGATAGGCCATGCACAACAACAAACCAAAAGGAACGCCTATACAACACAACCTGTGGGTGGCATAACACCACAAGGCGTGTTGAAAGCAACAGTGCGTCTACACGAAGAAATGTTGCAGTCTAGGAAGTGGCTGGAAGGCAATACGAATTGAAATTTGTGTTCTCAAAGGGGTTGCACTACCGCTTTCTTCACCCACATTGAGTATAAAAAGGCGGAAATTCCAGGACAGCTTCATCTGATACTGCTATAATCATTACTGCCTCGGTTAAAAACATTCGGGATGGATTTTGATTGACAATGAAAGCGTTTAGAACATATCAAGAACCCTTTGTATCAACTGCAATTCACTGGACGAAAGCAGTTCAGCCGATGTACAGCGTTTTTACAAGAGAAACTTTTGGCGGAATGACCCAAGACTTCAGTTTGCGTCGCTTTCGCTCGAAATCGTCATCTGCTGTCATCTGCTACATGCAAGTAATCATCTCTCTAGAGTGGTTGTTTCAGCTCTTTTTAGCCTTGTTTGATCATGCTGTTAGGTGCCTCCACCCGTACAATCTTACCTACAACCTTTGCTAAGCGGGCCGGCCTGCATGCACACGTACTAAGTCATACTCACCTTTCTTTCCGTTGGCCTGGGTAGCTACTTGCACGCCCCTGTTTGCCATAACTACCCAGGCCCATTATATTGCGTTGTTTCTCAGTCGATCTCGCTCTCTTCAATAATCCCTCTCTTGAATAATCTCGCTCTCTTCAATAATCTCGCTCTCTACCGTAATCTCTTTCTTACTCTTCAATGTAGTCGTTACGTTCGTCTTGGTCGCTTGTCTCGTCGTATATCATAAATGTCGTTCCCAATAACTTGTTCCCGTTGTCCATTGTAATGTCTGGAGAAGATGTTGTCAGTCGTCCTTCTTCGGAACCAACATTGGCAACCAACTTTTGCCGAAGCCCGCGACCCTGAGATCCTCATTCTCCACCTTCCGGCATTCGTCTCGTGTTAAGCCTCGTCTCGTTATCGTATGCAAACTAGTCACGTCAATGCCAACCTCGCCTCGTCCAGGTCCCATTCGTCTCGTCATGCAGGTCAGCTACCTTCCTCTCTTTCATTTTTGTATGCGTTCCTTCTTCGTCAAATTTATTTTCAGTTTATTTATTTGAAACTCGGATGTTGAGCCATAAATAAAAGTAGAAATGAACAGGACATCAGGAAACGAGTTAAGAGTAACTCTCCATCACTGTAACTGGATACTATATACAGTCAGAAAGTGCAATAACTAGGCACACAACTGACAAGAGTACTGAGACATTCGACGTCCTGACACCTAGCTTCAACACATCTTCGCAGCGCTAACCGCCAGCCTTCCAACTTGGAAGGTTCAAGGTTATGGAAAGACCAAAGAGGGGAAGGCAAGCGCAACGAAAACGAGCAAAAGCTACAGTCCCAACGGAACAAAGAATGTCGATTGTTACTGGACGATGACGAGACCAGTACGATATTTGACAAAGCGGTCTAACTACAATTCGAAGCAGCAAAGCAGCACACCACCCAACTTGGGTGGGTCATAAATATCAAAGATAATTAAAGAAAGGGGAAGCCTTGCAAAAACGAATTGTACAAGCCGAAAGCCAAACTCCTACAGTACTCCTCATGCATGACATTGTGATGGACTAGTTGACTACAAAACAAGTTGTTTCACACGACGTACGTTTCGCCGTATGGTTCGTGACGGCTCATCAGGTGTGCAATTTGAAACTCGGATGTTGAGCCATAAATAAATGTAGAAAGGAACAGGACATAAGGATACGAGTTAAGAGTAACTCTCAATCACTGTAACTGGATACTATATGCAGTCAAAAAGTGCAATAACTAGGCACACAACTGACAAGAGTACTGAGACATTCGACGTCCTGACACCTAGCTTCAACACATCTCCGCAGCGCTAACCGACAGCCTTCCAACTTGGAAGGATCAAGGTTATCGAAAGACCAAAGAGGGGCGCTAACCGACAGCCTTCCAACTTGGATGGTTCAAGGTTATGGAAAGACCAAAGAGGGGAAGGCAAGCGCAACGAAAACGAGCAAAAGCTACAGTCCCAACGGAACAAAGAATGTCGATTGTTACTGGACGATGACGAGACCAGTACGATATTTGACAAAGCGGTCTAACTACAATTCGAAGCAGCAAAGCAGCACATCACCCAATTTGGGTGGGTCATAAATATCAAAGATAAGTAAAGAAAGGGGAAGCTTTGCGAAAACGAATTGTACAAGCCGAAAGCCAAACTCCTACAGTACTCCTCATGCATGACATTGTGATGCACTAGTTGACTACAAAACAAGTTGTTTCACACGACGTACGTTTCGCCGTATGGTTCGTGACGGCTCATCAGGTGTGCAATTTGAAACTCGGATGTTGAGCCATAAATAAATGTAGAAAGGAACAGGATATAAGGATACGAGTTAAGAGTAACTCTCAATCACTGTAACTGGATACTATATGCAGTCAGAAAGTGCAATAACTAGGCACACAACTGACAAGAGTACTGAGACATTCGACGTTCTGACACCTAGCTTCAACACATCTCCGCAGCGCTAACCAACAGCCTTCCAACTTGGAAGGTTCAAGGTTATGGAAAGACTAAAGAGGGGAAGGAAAGCGCAACGAAAACGAGCAAAAGCTACAGTCCCAACGGAACAAAGAATGTCGATTGTTACTGGACGATGACGAGACCAGTACGATATTTGACAAAGCGGTCTAACTACAATTCGAAGCAGCAAAGCAGCACACCACCCAACTCGGGTGGGTGATAAATATCAAAGATAAGTAAAGAAAGGGGAAGCTTTGCGAAAACGAATTGTACAAGCCGAAAGCCAAACTCCTACACTACTCCTCATACATGACATTGTGATGGACTAGTTGACTACAAAACAAGTTGTTTCACACGACGTACGTTTCGCCGTATGTTTCGTGACGGCTCATCAGGTGTGCAACTTGAAACTCGGATGTTGAGCCATAAATAAATGTAGAAAGGAACAGGACATAAGGATACGAGTTAAGAATAACTCTCAATCACTGCAACTGGATACTAGATGCAGTCAGAAAGTGCAATAACTAGGCACACAACTGACAAGAGTACTGAGACATTCGATGTCCTGACACCTAGCTTCAACACATCTCCGCATCGCTAACCGACAGCCTTCCAACTTGGAAGGTTCAAGGTTATGGAAAGACCAAAGAGGGGAAGGCAAGCGCAACGAAAACGAGCAAAAGCTACAGTCCCAACGGAACAAAGAATGTCGATTGTTACTGGACGATGACGAGACCAGTATGATATTTTGACAAAGCGGTCTAACTACATTTCGAAGCAGCAAAGCAGCACACCACCCAACTCGGGTGGGTCATAAATATCAAAGATAAGTAAAGAAAGGGGAAGCTTTGCGAAAACGAATTGTACAAGCCGAAAGCCAAACTCCTACAGTACTTCTCATGCATGACATTGTGATGGACTAGTTGACTACAAAACAAGTTGTTTCACACGACGTACGTTTCGCCGTATGGTTCGTGACGGCTCATCAGGTGTGCAATTTGAAACTCGGATGTTGATAACTCGTATCCTAATGTCCTGTTCCTTTCTGCATTTATTTATAGTCATCCTTCTTCGGACCCAACATTGGCGCCCAACTTTTGCCGAAGCCCGCGACCCTGAGATCCTCATTCTCTACCGTCCGGCATTCGTCTCGTGTTCGGCCTCGTCTCGTTATCGTATGCAAACTAGTCACGTCAATGCCAACCTCGCCTCGTCCAGGTCCACTTCGTCTCGTATTGCAGGTCAGCTAACTTTCTCTCTTTCTTTTTGTATGCGTTCCTTCTTCGTCAAATTTATTTTCAGTTTATTTATTTCGTGAATTTTTTGTAGTGTGTGTGCGCGCGTGTGTTCTTCATAAAATATTAGTAAATTAGAGGTCCAATCATGGTGAGTCACGCTCTAATTTGTGATGTTTAGGAGTAGTGCAACTACGCTATTTTTATCCCTGCAAGCAGTATCAGTAGGTTCCTCGTCACGTCTAGTTTCTGATCTTTAGACTTAGAGAAGTAAAGGAACAATAATTGTAATGCATGATACTAGTAAACACTTTTGTGAGATCCGTGCACGCGTGCAGTGTGTCTTTGTGTGTGTTTTTTCTTCCTCTGTCATTTTTATCTCTATTTTTTGTTTTTGTTTGTTTTGTGAGCGTATGTGTTTCCCGCGCGCGTGATATTCAGGTTCGATCCCCGAGGGTTTTCAGGTTCAATCCCTGTGGTTTTTTTTCAGGTTCAATCCCAGTGGTTTTTTTTCAGGCTCAATCCCTGTGGTTCCTCAGTCATATTTTTATCTCTATTTTTTTCTTCGTCTTATTATTTTCCGCGAGGTCGCGGTTCTCTTTTTTGCTCAGGGGAGGTATGTTAGGTGCCTCCTCCCGTACAATCTTACCTACAACCTTTCATAAGCTGGCCGGCCTGCATGCACTCGTACTACGTCATACTTACCTTTCGTACCGTTGGTCCGGGTAGCTATTTGCGGGCCCATGTTGGCCATAGCTACCCAGGCCCTTTATATTGAGTTGTTTCTCAGTCGATCTCTTCAAAAATCTCGCTTTCTTTAATAATCTCACTCTTCAACGTAGTCGTTCGTTCGTCTTGGTCTCTTGTCTCGTCGTTTATAATAAATGTCGTCCCCTATAACTTGTTCCCGTTGTCCGTTGCAATGTCTGGAGAAGATGTCGCCAGTCGTCCTTCCTCGGACTCAACAGTACTTCGCTGAACTTTGGTGATATTGGCGTCATTCAAGTTGACTGTTAAGCTGCGTGAATCCACCGCGGTGGTGGTTTCTGGTTTCCGCCAAGGAGTAGTAGAAATATGTTACCCGCGCTCTGCGAAAACCGACCTTAGGTGCTTCGTAATTTTTTCGAGAAAAAGAACAAAACGTCACAGTCTGTAGATTTTTGAAGATCACAAGGTGAGAGTCATGGCGGAACGAAGCAGAAGAAGGTCGCTAGCTCAAATAATTGCTGTGGGCTTCTCCCAGAGGTTTCATCCGAACTCCTTCACGATGAATAGTCATTTTTTGGCCTGGTCCAATCGCAGTTCTGATGACAGCAGTGCCGAGGAGAGTCGGATGTGGAATCGCAGGACGCAACACTGTTGTTGTTTTCTTTATTTGAATTCGCTAAAACCAAACGGACAGAACTGTCCAGTGACAAGGGAGCGAATGATGAGCGTCATAATCACTAGGCATCAAAACATCTCAGGACAAAATGAGACAGACTAAATTAAGGGAGGGTCTGCACAACACTTGTACATTAAGGGGGAGTACGAGAACAAAGGCGCGGCAGAAGTCGAAGCAAGAAAGCAATCAACGCCAGAGATATTTTTGTCCACCAAAAACAGAGAGAGCGAGAGAGAGAGAGAGAGAGAGAGAGAGAGAGAGAGAGAGAGAGAGAGAGAGAGAGAGAGAGAGACTGACCGAGCTGGACGGCCATGCAAAGGATAATTTCGATCAGGCGTCAGTTTTGCCACCAGCCCAGCCCCTCAATGCCGGCAATAAACAGAGTGCAGACCAAGAAAAATCGGTTCAAATACTGTCTACAATCCAGGAGGCGCGCAACAAGTTTGACAAGGGCTGTAGTTGTTCCGCACTGGTGCTGTTTCAAGATCGTGACACTTGAAACCTTGCTTTACATTCATAGCGCACACAATGAACTCTGGAATGCACTGCCTGTGGAAGATATTGTGGAGCTGAAGCATTTTATAGAGCATTATGCTATAGCTCATGGCCTCCCTTAACCTGCAAATCCACATGGGCACAACAAGCCAGTACCAACCTACATGTATTTGCCCAGTATCACTACGAAGAAGCTTGTTCACCAGGCGTTCACAAAGCCTGGTGGCAAAGCTGCATACAGTACGTTTGGCAAGATTTCGAAAAGAGACTGCCATGATATCACCGATTATGAACTGAATGTGTGCGGCAGATGTGGACATAACTAGATGTTCTACTGCCAGTACCAGATAAAACTATCAATATCCGTTAACCTGGCATTGATCCGAGCTTCTTCACTACTTTGCACCTGCCTCTACCCATCACTCCGGCTGGCATATCCTCATACAGAGCCAAATACCTCTTCTGGCAGATTCGTGAGCATAACCATCCACAGAACATAGATAGAATGTGTCTATCTCCACAACAGGAAGATCCAATGCCATCATTAACCTTTCTTTTTGAAGATTATTCTCACAGCATTGGCTCCAAAATGTAGCATAAAATCCAGGATTTTTGCTACTTTTCCTCCAAAAATTGTAGGAAAAGTGCAAAGAAATTGTCATTGTATCTAACTGAATATGTATGCAATCCACCTCAAACTTCACCAGAAGTTGATGAAAGGGTCGTGGGTCAAAAATTCAGCACAAACTCATTTTCGCCAAAACAGCACCTAAGGTCGGTTTTTGAAGAGCGCGGGTCATGTTATGTTTCGCTGGTTTCACCTCCAGTCTCAAGAGAGATTCGTGAAACAAGGAAAATGGCAAAGCCAAATTAATTATAGTTCTGATGGATGCTCCTGTCAGCACGGAACGGCAGCGGCTAGCGAATCCTTTCGACTTCCCTAAGCCAAAAGACCCACGTCGGGCTCCAGACTTCAAAAGAATGAATGGTACTCAGCATTCGAATCTAGGCTTTGCGCGGGTTGAATGAAAATCTGAGTTCAGAATTTTAATTGAGCTGTGCGATCGAAGGAGCTGCTTGTTCAATCGCGCATTGTGTGGGCTCGCTGCTCCGCACCATTGGTCTCTAGATCACTCTCAAACTCTCAAGCTCATTGGTAGAGAGGCCAAGCAGCGCATTATGCCCTCGGAGAAGTGGTATTTCAGTTTCCGTTGCCATGACTTTCATCTTCTAAGTTCTCGCAGCGCAATTGTCATTTCCGCTCCGTTTATTGTGAAAGGTTGCTTTCGTTGCATCGTATCTCTTTCATGGCATGCCAGGGAATGCCAAGCAAGTGATCGCGACTCATGTCAAAGGGGTTTGTGCATAAAAAAGTCCCTTAAAATTCCAGCACGAAGTTTTTGTTGACGGAGGAAGTACAAAGTACAAACACACACAATTATGTGGTGTAGTGGTTTTTCCTCTTGGCATTATACCGCACAGCAGAAAGAACAAAATACAAGTTGTAGATACTTACCGTTGCATGTGCCAATAGGGAGTGCCCACGAGCCGTTTGGTAAGCAAGTTGTTGTCAGACTACCACTAAGATTGTACCCAGCTATACATTGAACTGTCGCCACTCCATAGCGAGCAGTGCTTATGGGTGCCGCCATGCCATTTGTTATTGTCGGTAGAGAGGAGCAGACAATAGCTGATGTGGGGCATACCAACATGAAACCAAACACACATTAGCAGCGGCGCAATGGCTCGTATGGACACTAAGCTCAGTCACTGAGAGTAGAGATATCTATTCCATTGTCATGCACAAACAGTAGATTATTTTATCACATGCGAAACAACACATTTAACCGGGCCAGAAGTTGTCTGTGAACAAGTAATGGGACATGCACCCTGTAATCAGGTTCTAACTAACACTTATAATATTTTAAATTATAGTATAAAAACCTCCAGTCATTTGCGTGTTCTAAAAAGCAATTAATATTTCTGGTAATCACTCATATAAAATAACTGGTGCTATAAAAACCTGTATAAAAAACCTGGCGCTGTAAAAAATCTGGTGCTACAAAAACCGCTTTTTAGGAAAAAACACAATCTAGCATGGTCATACAGAACAAAAACAGCACATATTGGCTCAAAACCAGAGTTTCAAAAACAGCAGAACGAAAAGAAAAACTGGAAAAACAGAATAGAACGACATGAAAGGCAGAAAGTGGAAGTGAGCACAAATAAGCTTACTCCTGCTTCTCCTCGGCTTCCTTCTTGGGTATTTTCTTGAGCTTTAAACTGAGTCGCTTCTTCCTTTTCTCAGGCGCGGGAGCCATCATGTTGATAGTGACAGTAGACCAATTTGACCCTTAGAGCCGAAAGAACTGATGGAATGGGACTGGCTACAGCAGGCTGGTGAGGTGGTTCGCAAACGGGTGGCGGTGCAACTTGTTCGAGCATGGTGGGCTGCCTTACAGGTACTGGTTCTTCATTTTCTTTGCCGATCGCTTTAGCCAGTGACACACCATCCTTCGCACTTGGTTTGTCATAAGCCTCAAGCGACTGAATGCTGCGATGTCCACTAATGGCCATAATCTTCCGATCTTTTGTCCCGGCTTCCTTCATGTGCACGATGGAAGTGGCGCGTACACAATGATTTGCGTATAGTTTCGACAGATTCGCAGATTCAGACACGTCTTTCATCATTTTGCCTACAAACACAAAACACAGACACAAAACAAAAAAACCTTCGTAAGAATTTAAAAATATATTAAATTATAGCCACAAGTAAAATAGAGATTTCATTGCTCTCAACAAGTCAGAAACCTCTTATCTTCCCTCCCCTCATGCACACTCAACCAATCACCGAATTTCTTTGAAAGGTCACAAAAATGTTACAAGAGAAAATACAACTTACCTAAAGTGTTGTGCCCAAGAGGAGACTTCATGAACCAGACATCTGAATCAACAGGGAGCGTCGTGCTGCCATACTTCGCTCGCTGAAAGAGTCTGTCCAGGTCCGGGTGCAACTTTGACAGATAGCGGCGGAATACTGCAATCACGTCCTTGTCAATGATAGCCCCGGATGTTTTGGTGCTACTGCCTTTGAGGCCGCCCTGGTGGTTTTTCGAGGCATACTCAGCTCGTAACAAGATAGCTTCCTCGCCTGCAACAGTGCTGAATACGAGGTCTGACGGCTTCAGTTGGGTTTGTGCCTCGTTTCCACGAAGACAGAAGTGAAGCGTAGTGTGGAACCATACAAACTGAGTCACCTTCTTCACATCCAGTGTGGTTGACGCATCGGCGAAATACTCCTTTAGGAGAACCCAATCATGATCAGCAATACTATCCTTGTGGACAACAGGAGCCTCCAAACCAGTCCGCTTCCTCTCTTTTAGCACAGCATCCAGGAGTTTGATGGACCTGTTGAAAACCGGACCTTGCAGACTGATTCCTCGCTCTAGAGAGTTCAGGTGGCGTTGAAATGCCCCGCGAGCAGCAATCATACTTGAACGCTTGTACTCGGATTTGTCCTGCTTTTTAGCCGAGCAGTAGAAGTCTTCGAGCAGGCCCGCAAGTTCTCCCTCTGTGACATTTTTTTCCAGTCGCAAGATTTGCTATCCGTTTGCAACAAATCGGAAAAAAAAACAGTCCACCAGAATTCCGTTGCCGTTTTGGTTGACTTCCACACGGCGCCCTCCAACAGCTCGTCTTTTCTTGCGGAACTTACAGGTTCGAAACGCGAAGACTCAGCGATAGTTCTTCGAAGCAAAAAAAGTTACAAGGAAATGAAAAAGGCAACGTTCTTGCTCAATGCACATGGAAATGACAAGGAATTACTGCGCATGCGTCCCCCTTTACCCAGACGTACGTCACGGCTGTTTTTTTTGCGCGACTTTGGCCCATTTAATATGGTGGCCGAGAACGCGTAAAAATTCATGATTTTCGTCCAGGAGTTGCTTTAGACAGCTAAGTATTCCACAGACTTCGCCACTTTTCGTCTCCAATCAGCTTGGTTTGCCCTGAGTTTTCGATTTTTCGGCTTTGCCTTTCCCTCAGCTCCGCGTACATGCCGCGCGACCACTGCTTCGATTTGTTTCCTTATCTCTGGAGGACGTTTGTTTTCCTCTCCTGGGACGTTCGTCGTGCAGAATTTGAGCCAACGTTTGTGCCCCAAATAGTATCCCCACATTTGAGTATCGTTTAGATAATTTGGAATCGGGTAGGTAAGTGTCCGTTCTGGTGCTGTAGAAAATTTCGTTCCGTGACGTGCATCAATTCCGTGTGACTTGCGTTTGCAATATTCTCACAATTTTGGTATTTCCCACACTTACTGGATCGTAACTGCAATTGTGTTACTCTCCAGTTGTTGTGAGGACGTAGGGTGATCATGGATGAGCATAAATCACTACTGCAAGAAGTCTGCCGAGTCGGTGGCAGAAAGTTTTCCTGTTTCAAGCAGTCTACTTCGAAGTACTAGATATAGTGTGGAAAAATATAGTGATCTGCTGAAATCTGTGCATGGCATTGATATCTCGAAAGATTGCCCAGACATCCACCCACCATACATCTATATTCTGTGCGAGCGAGCCCTAAAGAGAGCCAGTAGAAAGTCAGAACATTGTGGAGGTGGCTGTGGACCTGTCACCAAATGGGAGCCACACCATCACACAAACTGCTCTGTGTGTGCAAGCCAGAAAAAAAGGGGCGCACGCGCTCCATGCAAAACCAAAAACAGCATTGCGAGGTGCCGCACTCCTGACAGCACCCAACCACCAGAGCGATGATGGATCACCTGCACACGCAGCCGGCAGCAGTGTAAGTGGTCTAGATATCAGTGCAGAATGCATACAATCAAGAGCAACGCGACAACATCGTGCAATACTGCCGCTTGACAGGGACAGATTTTTGGACAGAAATGCGGTGCAAATTTGCATCATTTGTCAGAATGCCGCAGACGGTATCCTGGAAACAGCATGCTGCAATGAGCTGAGTTGTGCAGAGTGCATAAGCGAATGGCTCAGCACGAATAACACATGCAAGTCTTGCAGCGCTGACATGGCTGCATCATCGATGCGCACGCCCAGCATTAGTCTAACCAGGGTTGTCAGCAGCCAGTCCATACACTGCGACTTCCACGAGCCATCGCTACGTGGATGTCCTGAAGTCGTGCCGCTGCATGACTTGCAACGTCATGTCAACATGTGCCCGTTCAATCCCGCAGAGACGCCATCATGCAGCACAGCACGTAGCCCGCCGCCAAGCACGACACCTATCCGCTCAGTGCGCCCATCGTCAACAGAGGCTGAGGTTCTAAGTGCTTCTCCGTCGAAGTTGAAGGGCAATGTGGCAACCAACCTCACTGCACGTCTTGTCACGGCTAGCGCAGAGGGTGGCAGGCTGGAGGTGAAAACTGGCGAGGGAAGCAGGGGCAAACCGCAAGTTTACCAGCTAACACCAGAGTGCAGTGTACCGTCAACCGATGCGTCTGCCTCAACACTCAAACGCCGCGCTGCTGAGCTGACCCGAATTGCTGAGGCCGTTTTTGGTGGATCGGATGGAGCTCGAGTGCAAATGATTGCTGGGCTGAAGCGGCTCTCATCAGCTGCACAGGAGGAGCTCTTGCAGGAAGCTGGCTTGAAGTGTAGTTCACCTTCGCCTGGCACCGCGCTGGCCATCAAGGCAGACCTCCGACTGCCATGGAGCCAATTGAAGAAGCTGCGGCAGTGGCTCAAGGTCTTCGGAGTAAAGTTGGAGTCTGAGCGTTCTATACGAGAGTTCATCGCGAAGACGCTGCATAGCTACACCGCTACAGAGCTGCCGATGTCGAAGCGGAATGGCGATGTCTCCATGGCTGCCACTGTATTTTTTCCGGACCTTGTCGCTGTTGTCATGCACTTCCTCGACATCCTCAATGAGAGTGACAGCTTGACATGGCATTCAGGCACGATTCCACAGTCCGAAGTATGGCTCAAGATTGGCGGTGATCACGGAGGAGGCAACTTTAAGTTAAGTTTGCAGATCGCCAACGTACTAGCACCGAACGCAACGCACAACACCATTCCACTGTGCATATTCGAGGAGAAAGACACTCCGGCCAATTTGAAGACTGCTCTTGGACAGTATGCTGCACAGATTGAGCATTTGCAAAGCACGGTATGGAACGGCAGGCAGCTGAGAGTGTACATGTTCGGCGACTACGAATTTCAGACTATGAACCACGGGCTGTCAGGCTCTGGCGGACTGCGTCCATGCTTGCACTGTTTGTGTCCGAAGAAGGAGATGGCCAATCCAAATGATGATAGAACAGATGCGCATAGACAGGCACGCACACTGACTACATTGGCTGATGATTACGGCAGATTTTCTGAAGCTGGCTCGCAGATATCACAGGCAAAGCACTATAACAATGTCATTCGTCCGTGGATATTGCCAGTGCCCGTTGAAAATGCAATCATCCCGGTGCTGCATCTCGACTTGGGCATCTACACAGGGATGTTTGAAGCCCTTCTGAAGGACCTGCAGGAACTGGACTCGAAGCTTGCTTCGAAATGTGGCAAAGCAAATCCGCAACCTTAAGACCCGAAAGGCTGCGGGAGCGGATGGTATTTCTCATGAACTCCTGAAACTATTTTGTTCCAGTATTGCATACCCTCTCAGCCTCATCTTTAACCTCACTTTTGCAACTGGTGCTTTCCCTGCTAT